GGATTCTTAAATTTTCAAAGATATCTCTTATGTGAGGAAAGGAGAGTTGGAATTTCTAGTCTTTAGAATATGATTCATGCTGGTTTTTATTCCTTTATATAAAAATAGAGACAGACCATTTATTTGTTGTTCCAAAATACTTGCACAGAATGTCCCAAAAATGTCAGTGAATACAGGAAATGATCATGGCAATACCGTTTCCCCAAAAATCCTGAAAAATCATGCTAGGGTTTATTTTTGGGGTAGGTCTTATTTTCAGGGAAACAGGGTATCAATAGAACCCAAATATTTGTTTTCCCCTTTAGTTTGTTACAGGGATACTCAAAGACATGCTCCAAACATGAAAAAATATGTGGTAATAGCATTCTGCACTGTATCATTTCAAAATGCAGGTCAGAAGTAGTAAAACTCTACCACACTCGAATGTAACAACTATAATTTAACAATATATATATAAATGCTCTGTGCATAATGAGTTCCTCAAAAACAAAAGAACCAATGAATGAAATCACACCAAATTTGGCAAGAAACCATCTCACAACACAAGGAGTGACCATCACTCAAAAAATTATGATTTTGTCATTTGGGAGTTGTAGTTGCTGGGATTTATAGTTCACCTACAATCAAAGAGTATTCTGAACTCCACCAACGATGGAATTGAACCAAACTTGCCACACAGAACTCCCATGACCAACAGAAAATACTGGAAGGGTTTAGTGGCCATTGACCTTGAGTTAGGGAGTTGTAGTTCACCTACATCTAGAGAGCGCTGTGGACTCAAACAATGATGGATCTGGACCAAACTTGGCACGGATACTCAATATGCCCAAATATAAACACAGATGGGGTTTTGGGGAAATAGACCTTGACATTTGGGAGTTTTAGTTACTGGGATTTATAGTTGACCTACAATCAAGGAGCATTCTGAACCCCACCAATGATGGAATTGGGCCAAACATCCCACACAGAACCCCCATGACCAACAGAAAATTCTGTGTTTTCTGGTGGTCTTTGGTGGCCCTTCTGACACCCCCCTGGTGATCCCCCCCCCCGGGTCTTGACTTCCCAGGTTGAGAAATGCTGCCTTAAGGCCATCCAGTCCAACTCCCTTCACCAGGGCAAGAAAACATAATCAAAGCCCTCCTGACAAAGGACCATCCAGCCATTCACACACAGACACACACAGACACACACACACACACACACACACACACACACACAAGTATATGACAGCTGCAGTGTCAAAGATTTGAAAGGGATCCCTAAAGAAAAGACAATGATATGTTCCAGAGTAGGCAAACCAGACAATCTCCACATCAACACTGGCAAAGAAACAGCAAGAAATACTGTTTACCCACAAGCATAAAGACATTACATATATTAGAAACCAACACTTTCTCATTACTTTATTTGCCAGATCAACAGACTGGGCCACAGCAACGCATGGCAGGGGATCGCTAGTTCACCTATATAATGAGATGAGTTACATAAAAGTATTTCAAGCTTAATTGGTTAGGAGGTAGAAAACTAGGACTCGCATGGGCAACAATGAGGGAACTGTTGCATTCCAGAACAGGAATAATCCTCCGACTTTAAACACCACATGTTGAATTAGGAAAAAACAATCCTTTTATTGAAGATAAGTAAAAAGCAGCGAAGTAAAAAGTACTTTAAGGAAATAGGTAAATCCAATCAAGTAGGAAAATAAGCAGGAACAAATTAGTACAAGGTAGAAATCAGCAATGTTCATAAAAGCAAAGTCCACACATCTCCAATACAATCCAGAAAATCAGGAATACATTGATCCAAGGCTTGCGTAAGGAATCATGTAGTCCAGGAATCAAAAACAAGAAATATCTTAGCATGAAACTTCAAAGCAAGGTTTCCATAAAACAAGGACGAGAACTTGGCATGATTATAAACAATGCTTCACCTGACTACGTATCCCAAACTTGAGACTTTTATTCCCTCGTTAGCTAGGTCACTAGCAGTCAAAAATTGGTTTCTCTTTAGTTGAGTCTTTGTTATTGTTTTCTGCCGAAGCCTGGCAGATCGCCTAAGCCTTTGCACAGCCCTCCTGTTTTGACTGAACTCTTCTTGTCTATCTCTTGGCTTGTTATGTATTTGCTCTCTTGGCTCGTTATCTATTTGCTCATGAATTTCTGCAGGTGCATCCCCACACCCTTCAGGGACTTTCTCATGGGAAACTACAGAGATCTCTTGGTCATTCTCTGCATCAATATCACTGACCGAACCATTGCCATTTGAAACTCATCTTGAACCTCATTAACATCATTCCCCTCATCCAAAGCACCTTGATCCTGAAACACAATCACAGATTGATCTCCAACAGGAACTAGATAACTGTCGCACCTCAGGATAGATTCACCTTGCTCAGAATACCACACACACCAAGGCTGCAGGTTTTGTAGTTTATTAAAGAAAAGGCAAAGTCTTAAACATAAAGTAAAGTTGCAAAAGTTCAATAGCCAAACAGAGTCTTAAATGCAAAGGCAGAGTTTCCAAAGTCCAAAGACAAATAACATGAAGCATAATCCATAAGCATTGGTCAAACAAGATTCCAAGGCAGCATGACAGAGTTCCAAGAAACCAAGGTCCAATTCAAAGTCCCAAGAAGCCAAAAGCATTGCCCAAAAGCCAAGACAATCCCGAGAAGTTATCAGGGTGTTTGCTGAAGTTGCACTGACAAAAGGTTGCCTTCAACTCACTAAATATACTTTCCCAGCATGAAAGCATTCCTTTGACCTCTAACCTCTCTCGTTTGCAAGCCTTGTAACCCTGAGTTCCAAGCGATCCTCCCTATCTAACTGTGGAGAGCCTTCAAGGTCGAATAACCCATTATCCTGGAGCTGGGAATCAGGAGCCTGAGAATGGGCAGGCAGAGAGCTCAGAGGCTGGCTCGCTTCCTCCGCCTTCACCTGTGAAGTTTCACTAAGATCAGACACATCTTCTAAGACAACATCCCTTCCCATGGGAAACTGGAACTCCTCGTCTTCAGCATCAACAATAGGAACATGTTCAGAAATCTGAAAGCCATCAGCCTCTTCCAGCTCTTCCTGAGGCTCCTGCTGAGCCACAACAATAACACCCTCAACTATAAAGATATATAATTAAATACCAAAGTCAGGATCATCCATGCCATAATATTTCCAGTTCCTATATGTGACTGTAAAAACTGGACATGAAGAAAGCTAACAGGAGGAAAATCAACTCAATAGAAATGTGGAATTAAAGGAGAGTTCTGTAGATACCCTGGACTACAAAAATGTCCAATAAATTGGATCTGAGAGTAAACCGACCAGAATCTCCCAAAAAAGCTAAAATGATTTACATTGAAGCTATCAGACTTTGGATCTATCAGGAGAGGGCATGACTCATTTGAAAAGACAATAATGCTTGGCAAAGATGCAGTCAGGAGGAAGACAGGAAGGCTGTATCACAGGCTGACAAACTCAAGGAAGCCATCAGCCTGAATCTGCATTGACTGAGCAGGACTATTATTACAGAGAGACTTGGCGGTTTCTCATCCAAAGGGTCAACGTAAGTTGAAGCTGACTTAAAAGCAATTCAACACTAACTTCATTTTAAGAGGAAATTGAGTAACTAAAATTATTTAGTGGGCTGACAGAGCTGTTAATAACTGTTTCTACATTTTCACTGCTTGCTGACAGAGAAAAGGCACTAAAGTTGTCAACATTTAGTGTAACACTATGGGCTCAAGCTAACAATGGAAAGTCCATTAGTCACCAGATAGTTGTCATAGAGATGAAAACTCCTATGAGAAAATATCAAGTGACGCTTTGAAAAAAAATGCTGAAGTGAAACTATCAAGACTGAACCCAAATTGGTTAAGCCACAGATCACTGAAAGTATTCGTACATATCGTAAATATAAAAATGGCCAAAGTGACAAGAACGGATAAAAAGATTGTAAAATTAGCTTCATCTGGTGTGGTGACTTGACCCTGGATTTTAACTAATGTAATGTGGGATCCAGTCTTATAAACTCAGAAAATCCACAGTGGTAGCAATGGCACCCAGCCCACTTATGACTCCCACAACACACACAACAAAATGTTAAAGATCAGATTATTTAATTGCCAAATGCAATATACAGGGATTCCCCAAGTTACAGACAAGATAAGTTCTGTAAGTTTGTTCTTATGTTGAATGTGTATGTATGTATTATTTATTTAGAGCTTTTATAACCCGGGCTTCTCGACCTCCAAAGAGGGACTCAGGCCGGCTAACAGCAGGAAATTCATACACAAGTAGGATAAACATAATAGCATCATAATACATTAATACATAAAATACATTAAAATACAGGAGAAGGCCAGAAATTGTCTGGGTTCCTTGGCCTGGCAATCTAAACAGGCATTCTATAGCACGTATATACCTATGTAAGTCAGAATATGTACATTTTAAAATGTGTACACACACACACACACACACACACACACATGATTTGGTTAGTATACTTCTGTGGTGTTTATTTTGCGGTCTGATGTGTGTGTGTGTTTATATATATAAAATGTGAACTAATTTAATAGTATTTCATTACCATTGATTCCTCATTAAAATAACTAGATGGAGACTTCAAATGCAATGGAGCAAGGCTTCATAGGATTGAAGTGCCAAGACCTTTTGATTAGCAGGGACGATGACAGTAGCAGCTAATCTTTGAGGCTGCACCACTGGCCTTCAAACAGTAAATCTGTCAGCCATCAACCTACCAAAATATTTTCAATCACAGAGGAAATTGAGTAGTGCCATGGCAAGGTTTTTACCTGTGAGGAGCTTTGGGCAAATTATCTGAAAGTCTCAGAAAATTATAACCAATTAGTGACTGAGTTCTCATCACTCAGGAAAACATAAAGTAAGGGAAACGCCATGATTACTCAAGTCCTGTGTGAGTAACAGTGGTCTGTAGATAGTCATTATATTGTCCTGTTTACAAACCAACAAAAAACAACTTACCAACTGTAATGTTTCCTGTTTTAGTTTGAAGGGTTGTATCACCTGTAAGAAAAAAGTAAGAATAATTTAATATATGACAATTTCATATTGCCCAAATACGTACCACAGCAAATTAAGAGAAGCCAATTAGTCCTGAAAGTAGTCGCACGTTGGCTGCCGGTCCACTTCCGAGCCCAATTCAAAGTGCTGGTTTTGACCTATAAAGCTCTATACGGTTCTGGTCCAGTTTACTTGTCCGAACGCATCTGCCTCTACATCCCACCCCAGAACCTAAGATCATCCGGGGAGGGCCTGCTCTCGCTTCTGTCAACATTGCAAATGCGTTTGGCGGGGATGAGAGTCAGGGTCTTTTTGGCTGTGGCCCCCCGCCTATGAAATGCACTCCCAAATGAAATAAAATCGACTCCATCCCTCCTGGCCTTCAGAAAAAAAATGATTGTTTTGTATTTGATTGTGTTATATTATTGTAATTGTGATGTATCGGTCCAGCACCGTGACTAATGTAAGCCGTCCTGAGTCCTCCTTCGGGGGTAGAGAAGAGATGGGGTATAAATGCCAGAAATAAATAAATAATAAATAAGAGATTGTGAAGCTAGAACAGATTGTGAAGCTAGAACAGTGGTTCTCAACCTTCCTAATGCCGTAACCCCTTAATACAGTTCCTCATGTTGTAGTAAACCCCAGCCATAAAATTATTTTCATTGCTACTTCATAACTGTAATTTTGCTACTGTTATGAATCATAATGAAAATAGCTGATATGCAAGATGTATTTTGATTCACTGGACCAAATTTGGCACAAATACCTGATATGCCCAAATTTGAATACTGGTGAGGTTTGGGGGAGGTTGATTTTGTCATTTGGGAGTTGCTGTGATTTATAGCTCACCTACAATCAAAGAGCATTCTGAACTTTACCAACGATGGAATTGAATCAATCTTGGCACACAGAACTCCCATGACCAACAGAAAATACTGGAAGGGTTTGGTGGGCATTGACGTTGAGTTTGGGAATTATAGTTAATCTATATCCAGAGCGTACTGTGGATTCAAACAATGATAGATCTGCACCAAACTTGGCACAAATAATCAGTATGCCCAAATAGGAACACTGGTAGAGTTTGGAGAAAATAGACCTTGACATTAGGGAATAGTTGTTGGTGGGATTTATAGCTCAATTGCAATCAAAGAGCCCCTTGAACCACACCAATGACAGAATTGGACCAAGGAAGAGAAGGACAGGCGGAGAGATCTTCAGCTTTCTCTGACAAAGGGGTTCCTAAGACTATCAGAAATATGTTTTCTGGTGGACTTTGGCAACCCCTCTGAAATCCCCTCGCAACCCCCCCAGGGGTTCCGACTCCCAGGTTGAGAAACGCTCAGCTAGACAGACTGAATGAATGAGACCTTATACAGAATTTGAGTGCTACTCAGAGGCAGCTCAACCCATTATGCAAAGTAAGCATTTGCAGTATAGTTGATTTTGCCCAGGGGCGTCTTGAGGCTCTCTTGGGGGAAAATAGACCTTGACATATGCAAGTTGTAGTTACTGAGATGTATAGTTCACCTACAATCAAAGAGCATTCTGAACTCCACCAATGATGGAATTGAACCAAATATGGCACACAGAACTCCCACGACGAACAGAAAATATATATCAGTGATTGGTTGGGGCTGGGTGGGTGCCAAAATACTGTTTGCTTACCGTTGAAAATTACCTAGGGCCGCCTCTGGTGCTACTGATGGACTACCCTGTTCAATATTTACAGAGATAGTAAACATGAAAATAATTAAAATATATTGTCGAAGGCTTTCATGGCCAGAATCACTGGGTTGTTGTAGGTTTTTTTGGGCTATATGGCCATGGTCTAGAGCAGGGGTCCTCAAACTAAGGCCCGGGGGCCGAATACGGCCCTCCAAGGTCATTTACCCGGCCCTCGCTCAGGGCCAACCTAAGTCTGAAATGACTTGCAAGCACACAACAACAACAACAACAACAACAACAACAACGCTATCTCATCAGCCAAAAGCAGGCCCACACTTCCCATTGAAATACTAATAACTTTATATTTGTTAAAATTGTTCTTCATTTTAATTATTGTATTTTAAGTGTTTTTGCACTACAAATAAGATATGTGCATTGTGCATAGGAATTCATTCATCATTTTCAAATTATAGTGCGGCCCTCCAACAGTTTGAGGAACTTTGACCTGGCCCTCTGTTTAAAATGTTTGTGGACCCCTGGTCTAGAGGCATTCTCTCCTGACATTTTGCCTGCATCTATGGCAAGCATTCTCAGAGGTACCTCACTACCTCTGAGGATGCTTGCCAAAGATGCAGGCATAACGTCAGGAGAGAATGCCTCTAGACCATGGCCATATAGCCCAAAAAAACCTACAACAACCCAATTAAAATATATTCTACCATATTAACCATTAATATGGTAATAATCCTAAAGATACACTTCTTCTTCTTCTTCTTATTATTATTATTATTATTGTTTACGACATTTATATGCCGCCCTTCTCACCCCGAAGGGGACTCAGATATGCAAAATGACATCTTTATAAAGTTTTAAAACAAAAGATAGCAAAAGGTATTATACATGGAAGAACCAGTAATATTTTTTTCCCTTTCCCCTCAAAAAAACAACTACCAGTTTGACTGCAGTCCCTTTAATGCTTGACCTACATTATGAACGGTTTCTACTACCATGCTTCACAATATTGGCATACAAAAGGCAACACATTTACAAAAGACAGAGATCGTTTGGCATCTGCTGAACTGATTTTCCAGACTGAATATACAGATTACAGTGCTATTTTCCACCACTATGTGCTTAAATTTTCTTCTGGAATAGAACTAATCTGGAATTAAGTGATGTCTGAGCATAAATAAATATATAGCAATCTTTAGGTCTTCACTGTACTGATGAGCAATTCACATCCTTGTGGGGATAGAGTTGGATCAGATAGTGGACAGATGGGATTATTATTATTACTGATAGCAGCAGCATATTCAAGTACAGGCTAAATTTTACAAAAGTATCGCATATCTGGTTCAATGGCTATGAATCATCCATTTTCATAATTTAACAAGATTTCACACTTCATAGCTGAGTGGAAAATGCTATTCTTCAGATTTTTTAAAACTAAGAGCTGAGGTAATGGATTTGATGCACTGAGCTGACCAAATCAATATTCTGTTTGAATAGTAAAAGTGTTGCAAGACAGCTGTTGTGGAATAAAGCAATCCCTGGGAAACAGGAAAGAGACTTTTAATTGAATGTGTGTTTTACCGAATAAGACAATATATGGCAAGCCTTTTGCATGAAATTCCTTGTAGGTAAAGGTTGTCCCCTGACATTAAGTCCAGTCTTGTCTGACCCTGAGGTGTGGTGCTCATCTCCATTTCTAAGCCGAAGAGCCAGCGTTGTCCATAGACACCTCCAAGGTCATGTGGCCAGCATGACTGCATGGAGCGCCGTTACCTTCCCGCCGGAGCAGTACCTATTGTTCTACTCACATTTGCATGTTTTTGAACTGCTAGGTTGGCAGAAGCTAGGGCTGACAGCGGACACTCACGCCGCTCCCTGGAATCGAACCTGCGACCTTTTGGTCAACAAGCTCAGCAGCTCAGTGCTTTAACCCACTGCGTCACCGCCCCCCCCCCCCCCAAAATTCCTTGTAAGAATCAGCAAAACAAACGAACGAACGAACGAACAAAAACAGAAACTCCTCCATCAACTTCACTTTTATTTCATCCAATCTGGGAAAACTATGGATTACAGCTTTTCTGCAGGCTAATCTACTAACAAACTATAGTCCAGTTGTTCTCAACCTTCCTAATGCCGCGACCTCTTAATACAGCACCTCACGTTGTGGGGACCCCCAACCATAAAATTATTATTATTGCTACGTCCTAAATGTAATTGTTACTGTTATGAATCATAATGTAAATATCTGAAATACAGGATGTATTTTCATTCACTGGACCAAATTTGGCACACATACCCAACAAAAGTGTTCCATGCTGTCAGGTCAGCCACATGACCTTGGAGGTGTCTATGGACAACACTGGCTCTTTGGCCTAGAAATTGAGCACCAACTTCCAGAGTTGGACACAACTGGACTTAGTGTCAGGGGAAAACCTTTACCTTACCTTACCCAATATGCCCAAATTTGAACACTGGTGGGGTTGGAGGGAAAATTGATTATGCCATTTGGGAGTTGTAGTTGCTGAGATTTATAGTTCACCTACAATCAATTAGCATTTTTAACTCCACCAATGATGGAATTGGACCAAACTTGGCACACAGAACTCCCACGACCAACGAAAAATACTGGAAGGGTTTGGTGAGCACTGACCTTGAGTTTTGTAGTTGTAGTTCACCTGCATCCAAAGAGCATTGCAGACTCAAACAATGATGGATCTGGACCAAACTTGGCACGGATACTCAATATGCCCCAATGTGAACACTGATGGAGTTTGGGGAAAACAGACCTTGGCATTTGGGAGCTACTGGGATGTATAGCTCCCCTGCCATCAAAGAGCTTGGAAGGTTGCGTGGGGGGCGGGCAGAAAGGCTGCGCTCATGGCAAGGCCGTGAGCGCAGCCCTCCACCTCGCCCCCCACGTCCTTCTGAACTTGGAAAAGCGCGGGGGGGGGCAGCCCTCCCTTGCCCAAACGGCAAGGGTTGGCAGCCATTTTGGCGGGGGCGGGGTCAACAAAGGCAGCTTCGCGACCCCCCAAAAATGGCCCAACGACCCCCCTGGGGGTCGCGACCCCCAGGTTGAGAACCGCTGCTATAGTCTGCTATATTGTTTTGTTCCAAAACAGTTACTCATTGTTTCCCACTGTAGACAAAACTGGAATCATTACTTAATTGAAGAGATCCTGGTTTGTTTACTGACTCATAAAAATGGAGGAGTAAAGGAGTTGTGTCCAAGGAACAAAAAGCTTTTGAGCTATCGAACTGAGATGCATTGTATAAATGTTCCAAAAGGTCCACAGATTATAGTCATGGAATGACTTGCACACATT